GCACGCATTAGCGTGCGTAGCCCAACTGGTGATTAATAACCATCCACGATTGGAAAAGGCTCTCACTCTGAAGCCCAAAGGTATGGGACGTTCCATCTAATCACACTATACTCATTTCGCTTTAATTGCATGCTAGAAGCTTCCGGACCTGATTGGAGCTGCTAGGAATAAATCTATCAAAGCTGGCTTCAGGTGAAGCGACAGCGACTGCACCATTGAGTCAGCACTCAATTCTGTGCGATCCCAGATTTCATCTTGAATTCTGAAGAATTCAAAATAAAATCTGAGGTTGAACGAAAAAAATTTGTTAATCGTGAACAACCCAGTTACCTTTACTCACAGACCACAAGTATTGAGTCGTACCCTGTAGAGTAATGCTCAGCAATATTTTCCCCAAATTTTTCCCCCTGTTTAGCCTCTAACATCAGATTCCCCAACCTAAAAATCCACTTGAGGTTTACTTGTTTGGCCTCTCACTGTAAACATGAAATTTTTGATGGGGCTCGGGATTACGCTGGTTGCGATTGTTATTGTAACCATCATAAACCGAGAAAACATTTAAATGAGGATTAAATAGACGAATGATCGAGTATGTGTATGTATCCTTAAAACCATGCGACTAAAAGGGTATGAAGACGTTCATGAATATAAATATGTTACTTCTTTATATCTAGGATGTCCTGACCAGGTATTCTCTAGATATACATTAAACAGGCCCTTCAAATCAAATATTCAGTGAACTCTCTCTAAACCATCGAAGGTCTTCGGACATTCCATAGAAATTGACGGTATTATCAGGCAAGAAGCTTCTCTCGCACTTGTGCAGCATATACCAGCCCTACGCTCACTTCGACAGCGGAAATTGGCGACAATAACTCGAGAATCATAAGTAATATGGAATAATTGGCGAAAAGACAACTGCCTGCCAATTTCAACTGTTTGCCCTCATTGACTAATAACTTTCTGAGACTGTTCGTTGCATGAAATGGACGAAATCGGATGATATATATTCTTAATCAGCGGAAGGCTCACATTTAACACCTCTAGCTGAGATAGACTGCAGCAGTTCAAGAGTGAAAAAGCTAACAAGGATGGACGGCAGGGCACCACTTTGTGGTACTACACTGCTCACCAGGTTGGGTTCCAAATAAACATTGTGCACCCTGCAATGTTCTTATATATGTCCTTGCTATGTGCAAAGCGGTATCCAGACTGAGGTATTAACATCGAGAAGTGAGGTCGAAATTCACTTACCTTACAAATAGCGCTCACACAACATGGATCATGCCATAGGCCTTCTTCGCCTCGAAAGTTCCACAATCGGTAGCAATCACCACTTATTTGTGGCTTGATTGACTGAGCAACCGTTACTAGTATGGACTCTTTTCCACAGCGAAGAAACTACATAAATTGGTAAGGGTTACATGTAACTGCGTGGAAGCTTAATGGTTAGTATTAAGTCATCAGAGGATACCGTAATGGAACTTCAACAGCGATGAGTCGCGCCTCAAGTGCATGATCTCATTACCTCGAGGATAGACATCTTTCTAAGGTACCACTCAATACTTGTGTGAATTCAGGAAAAAAAA